CGGCCGGGCGGCCGGCGTGTCGGCCCGGGCGGCTGTCAGCGGCGCCGGCGGGGGCGCCGCCGAGGTCACGCCGGGCCGCCCGGGCGCGCCCCGGCCCGACGCCGCCATTGGCCGCCGTCCCAGATCATTCTCCGGTTGCGGTGTCGACCGGCAGTAATCCGGCCGGGCTTTAGATGGCAGGATAAAGGAACACCCGCCGCATGCAACGGCGGGCACCTGACAGCGCCTCAATGGCCGCCGGCGTGCCCGCCGCTCCAGACGACCTGTCCGGGTCTCGGGCGCGCTGACCCCCGCATATAAAGGCTGCTGTCGGGAGCGCCGGCAAGGCTTAAGATGATGCTTGAGGCGCATTGGGAGAAATTGTTGAAACCACGACGCTCAACATTTCTTTGCGGGGCCAGCAGCTTTGCTAAAACCACTATCTCACTTAGCGGCGTTGCATCTTAATTCCGACGCATATGTGTCTGTGAACCACAAGGCACTCGCGTTCAGGAAAGCACCTAGCGAGCGCCAAGCAGCCATGTGCTGGAATGTCATGGAATAGGTTCTACACTGAACCCGCGTCACCCATGTGCCCAACGCGCGGCTTTGTCGTTGGATCTTTCAGAATAAAACCTAACTGCAAATGTCATCAGCTTATCTTGCACAAGTCATAATCCCAAGGCAGTTTTGTATGCCTCGACATTTTTCAAAGATAATTTCGAATGCATGTTTCACCGTTGTAAGCCGGGCGCAGTTGTCTTGACTGCTAAACATTTTTAACTTTCCGCTAAAAGCGGGAAATCTTAAGAGCAAAATATCTTCCTTTCATCGGGTGTGTTGGTTTGCATCCTTTTTTGTAAGCCCTTCCCCCATGTTGAGTTGAGCTCACTTCTTATATTGGTTTAATCTTTTGAATGCCTTTTGTCTTTTCCCCCACTTTTGAATGTCTTTTGAATATCTTGGATAATGCAAAAATGCTTTGCTTGGTTACTTTCAGAAAGCTCACCTTTTTGGGCATTTTTTGCTAATCGCGACTAGAGCTGTTCAACTTAAGGACTTTTCCATATAAAATCTAGTAATTGGAAGTTAAAAATTATCGTCCATCAATACAAGGTTGGCTTTTCCTGCAGAAAGCAAATTTGCGGCTGTGGGTTGGTGTCGTCGGGCCCTTAACTCGCCCCCCTCCCGCCCCCTGTTCTCAATCATTTGTCGTGAATCGGTGTTATACACCGTGTTTAGATCAACACGACCATAGTCATGTGAAACATTAGGCAGATCCAGTCGTCACATACCTACCAATGAAGTGTATCTCCACAGATACTCACCACTGACCAGAAATTATCTCCCCGCATGATGCATAATGTCCATAGCCAGCATGATATCAGCACAAGATGGTGTATATGAGGATATCGTAAATACCATTCTGATGTTTATCCTGACATCATGACCGGACATCCTGACTGTACACAGTGACACACAGCATCCTGATATATGTACAGCATGATCATAATTTGCGGGTATCATGATCACTGCTTGAGTGGGTCGTGCCAGCGTAGGTCAGTGTTAGTGTACTTAGTGTCAGAATCAGCAGCAGTGTGGGCGGTTGCCATTAGTCGACGATATAACGGGGTGTGATTGTCGTTTAGTGGGCCCTGTTAAGCCTCTAATATGAATTACCCGCCTCCATCTTCGCGGTGCGTGTTGTCACTTACCTGCTTGAGGTATGTGAAGCTTGTGGGCAGGTGTGTGTGCATGCAGTCGGTATTGCGGAAGTGTTTATCGAAAGCTATGTTTTTCATACGTGGTCTGAGCCAATGGTATTGCATTTTCAAAGAAAAACGCTTGAAGAAATTACCGTTATGTTCCCATCCGTATCTCATTTCCAGCGGAGCAGCTTGATGAACTGGAGCGCTGGACAGATTTTCCTGCCGAAGCGCATTCCAGCTTAAGTGGAATTCAGTGGAAACTTCGCGTTCTCCACTATATCATCTTCTGTATATCTGCTACACAAAACAAGAAAACTGCCACGAATTTCGTGAGTAGCATACCTGATCATTATTTGGAACTTTGCTCCTAAGTTTGGAGCGGGCCACATGGTTACATCATTTTTTAAATAAATTTGCCACCGCTTGGACGAAAGCAACTGGTATCCGGACACAGATCCAGAATTTTCTTCTTCTTTGGAACGGTAGTTATTTGAAACAATACACATGCCTCTACACTGTAACCAATCTGTTCTCATGCAAAAAAAAGCTGAATAATTTATCGGCCGACCTAACAAGTAATCTAGTTTATTATCCCCTGATGTTGCATGTTTTGATTACATCATTTGGCATAATCATGCTTATTTAGTTACATCTGTTGTCTTCGGTCCTCCTTAAGAACTGCACCAGCCGCTGGTACATGTTCTGTCCGCGTCCTTGGTCTGCGCATCGGCACGTGCCCCAGACTCGTGTTTCTCGGCCAGCCCGTGTACCGTGTGCTAGCCGCGCCCTAGACGTGTCTTGGCAGCCCCTCAAATACATTTGCCAGTCGTCTTTTTCCATTGGAGTGGCCTTGTCACTGGCTGGGAGGGATGCTGGTCGTTCAGAACTTTGTGACGCAATAGGAAAGTCGGAATCCCAGCCACCGCTGAAGAGTCAATATTTGCGGGCATGGCTGAGGACTGGCAGGACGCGCGGGCATGCCGGTAATGCTGCCAGACACCGCAGGACATGCTGGCACGCACGCAGACATGCACACACACACACACATACAAACACACACACACACACACGCACTCAAACACACACACACACACACACACACACACACACACACACACACACACACACACACACACACACACACACACACACACACACACACACACACACACACACACACACACACACACGCACGCACACACACACCCGCACACAAACACACACGCGCACACACACACACTGCTATCAAGTGATAGGCTTCGCCTAGCCAAGGGGACTTTTCGGATATGTTTAACGGTAATGCGATTGAGTCCGACCACTAATTCGTGCTTCTAAACGCGAGAACGGATGGTTGAAACGGTATTGCATCGAAATATCAGGTCCTGATTTGGCCATCGATCATAGCCGTCTTTTCAACCGCACCGTAAACACAGATCGACCCTTTTTGATGGATATACAACGTCTTGAAACTGCCAAGTGCTGATTGAGTATCCGACTCTCTCAGCACATTGTCCTTGCTGCAGTCAGTGATCTCATCACTGATTCACGCCGATAAACAGAGAATATGGCTGCCACACCTGCCGTCAAATCAAAGCACACCCTCAGCCGGCTGATCATTGGCGGATTAAAGCGTGCTGCCATTAGCCGCTCGGGCCATCAGCGAGCGGGCGAGTCCACCGGCAACGGCGGGGGAGGACACACAGCCGACTGCCATCTCGGTACGTGGACATCACCGCCGATATCTCATTACCACGACGCTTGAGCACATAACAAATGGCCACGGAAAACGACGCAATTGATTATCTGCGGCGCGGGGAAATTACAGCGCCGTGCGGCGCCGCGGCGTGCGGAGCGGCGCCGCCACCGTCGCCTCCACCTCCGCCGCCGCCACCTCCGCCGCCCAGCCTTGACCTCCGTCGGCCGGCAAATTAAATGTGGCTCACCACCGGCGAAAAATGCAAGACCACCAGGCCAATTTAAATCAATCAGCAACGAGGTAATGAGAGGGGTGGCACGGCCGCGCCGGCGGCGGTGGCGGGCCCAGAACGTGCAGCGGGCAGCCGGCAGCGGGCGGCGGGCAGCGGGCAGCGGGCGGCGCGGCGGGCGGCGGGCGGCGGCGGCGGCGGCGGCGGAGGCCAATTTGTAATGATTGTGCGCCGTGTTTGAGTGGGCTGTGTTTATGTTCCACAGGTGGGCCGCGGCGATGGCATTGTGCTCGACTTTGTGCGGCGCACAAGAGGCCACAAAGCCGCGCGGGGATAAATCTCGACCACCTGTCGGGCCTCGTTTCGCCGGCTGACTGAGCCGGCTCGGCCGCGCTTTCAGTTCGGCGTCAACAAAGCCAGGCGCGCCGGGCGAAACTGAAGACGCGCTGGCTGCCGGCGCCGAGGAACAGGAAGGACTGTCACGGTCGAATTCCGGCAGATCTGTGCCCGGGAATCGGCCGGCTTTGGGCCTCAAAGGCCGGGGAGTTCGGTTGTCAATGGCGCTGAAGGTCTTGTCGGCCGGCGCTCACAACGGACGAGCACATTCGGCCAGCAGTCATTTGCCGGCCGTCTGTCCTCGATTTCTATTTGTGAGTCACATTATCCCTGTCTGCTGGACGGGTTCCAGGCTTGGCCCGAAGGGTGAGGGATAATGGTTGTGACTGTTGTGCGGCAAAGCTGTGATGGCGGCCGCCGGGGCGGGCCGCCGGCTGGGGATGTGCAGGGGTGACCGTCGTAGACACAGTGGAAGGTTATGCGGGGGGTGGCCGTCGTAAGGGGTAGGGAGACAGATGGATCATGAGGCTAAAAGTGTTCTGGGTTGGGGCCCTTTGGTGAGGTTGTGTGGGGACAATTATGACACCATAGGGGTAGTGAGGCCGAACAGGGGCAGGACTGCTGAGGAGACATGGCGAAGCTATGCAGTACACGGGAGTCTATGTCGGTACCGTGAAAGTTGTAGTGCGGAGGTGACTGCTGGGATCGCGGGCTGAGGCACAGACGTGAGCTGCGGCTCCTCTGAAGCCACGGCGAACAGGGCGCCGGGCTGGCCACCTCCGCTTCACATCACGTCAGCCCCCCTGCATACCTGACTTGAGCCACCTCCTCTCCACATAACGTCAGCTCGCCTGCATACCTGACTTGAGCCACCTCCTCTCTACATCACGTTAGCCCGCCTGCATACCCGACTTGAGCCACCTGCTCTCCACATAACGTCAGCCCGCCTGCATACCTGACTTAAGCCACCTCCTCTTCACATCACGTCAGCCCGCCTGCATACCTGACTTAAGCCACCTCCTCTCCACATCACGTCAGCCCGCCAACATACCTGACTTGACGGAGCAGTGGATGTGCGAGCGCGACTCGAAGTAGACCCAGTCGAAGCCGACCTCGACGGCCAGCCGCGCCAGCATGCCGTACTTGCTGCGGTCGCGGTCCGAGGTGGTTATGTCGACGGCGCGGCCCTCGTAGTGCAGCGACTGCGGCGCGTGCAGGCCGCTCTCGTCCCAGCCCTCTGTCACGCGCAGCCGCACGCCCGGCCACTGGTTCATCACCGAGATGGCCAGCGTGTTCAGCTTCTCCTTCCCCCGCTGGAACGGCACCGGCAGCACGTCAGCGTGCGGTCGCACACAAGAGCAGCGGCGGCTGGCAAGGACGCTGCTCCCAGAGACATATGTGAGATGAATTAACTGTTGTCCGGGGCAGGCACGGCGGGTTTTCGACCGTACGAGACAACGCAATATGTCAACAACAAAAAACAACAACATTGGCCGAGATCATGTTCATCAATCCTAGTTCAACACTCCAGGACAAATACCGCGTAATGTGTAATCGATTAGGTGGAAGGCATGCAAAATACAAAAACAAAACAGAGGATGGATACAACAGAAGACCTGACACAAAAAACATCCTCGGATATGCTAGCAACGATCACACAGGCCCCCACACACACGCACACACACACACACACACACACACACACACACACACACACACACACACACACACACACACACACACACACACACACACACACACACACACACACACACACACACACACACACACACACACACACACACACACACACACACATCGCTCGCTTTCTTCTCAAGATAATGCCTACATCCGCTAGCAAAAAGCGCCTTGAGCCGTTGCGAAGTCGAGCCTTTCAGCGCGCAGCCTGCCACAACATGCCGCGTGCTTGCCAGTGTTCACCGGTGGAAATGCCTCAAACGGCGATGGTTAGCCGCTCCGCCGAAGGTGACAGCCGCGGCCGCGACGCCGGAGCGCTCGAGCCTCACTAATCCGGCGGCCGATGGTCCTCAAAGTAACCGTCAGGCAATCGGTCAAGAGCTGACAGTCGCCGGCCGCCTGCTACCGCCCATTTCGCAACGCGCTGGCGCGTGCAGAGAGCACACCATCATCGATCAGATCGCAGTCAGAGCCCAGATCACAGTCAGAGCCGCGTCCGAGGACGGCAGGTCACTGTCGGGCCCGCGCCCGAGGATGGTCGGTCACTGTCGAGCCTGCGACCGAGGACGTCGGGTCACTGTCGGAACCAGTATCTGAGGATGGCCGTTCACTGTCGGGCCCGCGTCCGAGGATGTTCAGTTATTGTCAGTGGCGTGTCCGAAGACGGCCGGTCACTGTCGGACCCGTGTCTGAGGACGGAGGTCACTGTCGGGACCATTGTGGAGGACGGCAGGTCACTGTCGGAACCAGTGTCTGAGGACGGAGGTCACTGTCGGACCATTGTAGATGGACGGCAGGTTACTGTCGGACCAGTGTCTGAGGATGACAGGTCACTGTCGGACCCGTGTCTGAGAACAGCAGGTCACTGCCGGACCAGCCGGACCTGCGACTGAGAACGGCAGGTCACTGTCAGACTGGTGTCTGAGGTCGGCAGGTCGCTGTTAGATCCGTGTCTGAGGACGGCCGGTCACTGTCAGACCAGCGTGTCAGGACCGGCAGGTCACTGTCGGATCAGTGTCTGAGGACGGCAGGTCACTGTCGGATCAGTGTCTGAGGACGGCAGGTCATTGTCGGGCCCGTGACTGAGGCTGATTGCTGTCAGATTGAGCATTCGTTCGTCTTGTTGACGTGGGGACAAAATTGACATTAATGCCTTCGTTGTCCAGCACCACCCCTCTAGAGGCCCCAGCAACCTTATTAAGGTTGCAAAATGACAAAGGCTACCAACTGTGCAGGAAAACAACACCGATAAAGATGCTCACGTCCTGCTGAAGAACGGACAAAATAAAGACACACATTTATGCTTCCGAATAGGTTGTGGTCCCATGGATAGGGGGGGGGGGACATCCCACCCAGTTTTCAGGAAAGTTCAGCGTTTGGCCTGTGTGATCCATGAAAAGAATAGACTTTAAAATGGCGTTCTGGCCACCCAGTTTTGAGATGACCGTACGCTTCCATCGCAAGAAGCAAACAATAGCAGCGTTCGTGATAACTTCGGGGGAAAGCATTCGCAATACAACTTAACAGCAACAAAAAGCTCTTGGAGCTATCTAAGGCAAAACACGTGAGTCGTGGTCTCGGCTACAGCCAAACACTGTTAACATGTTCAGTCACGCCTCACAAAATACGGATCCAACCGATCTTTTAGGATGAAAAATTATGCTGGGTGGCATTACGCTTTCACACCTGAATTACTGTCGCCCGGTATGGAGAGGCTGTGACGTTATTCTACGACACGCTGTTCAGAAAGTGATCAATCAGCGGGCCCGAGTTCCAGATGTCAAAACACCCCGCGGTCCCGCCAGCCGCCCGATCGGAGGCTGGGCACGGCTGAATGCGGGCCATCTCCCGGCGGTGTCCAGCACAGCTACGCTGGGTGCGGATCCCTGCAGGATGTACAGCGAGAGCGAGCCGTCGGCACAGTGAGACTGTAGACGGCGGAAAGTGAGGTGTCACCTGCGAAGACTTCCAAGGGAGAGCTGACGTTTGTTTCAGGCCACTGAACCGGAGTAAAAACAGGCCTTGACGGACCGCGTTTTCTTAAGGCACGGACTAGACGTCTGACCATATTCGTCAGACCTTTGTGTTCGTTTTGTACCAGAATTACGGCAGAAGTGTGTGACTGCAGAGGCACGTAACAAGTGTATAATAAGCAACATGAAAAAATACATGTGGGAGCAGCCGTAGCACTGTTTCACGTCGCACAATTCAGTGACACAGGCACTGCGTTGTATCTTGTGTCGTACGGTTGACATGACTTGGCGAGCCGGCGCAATGTGCCCGGTTCGCTTTGATCTATCTAAGCACGCGAATACGACTGTTTGTTACATGTATCAGTGAGCAAATAGCTGTTCGTCTGCTCAGGTTCATCCCACTTCCGTCGGTTTTTCGTTGTCTTCCGTTGACACTTTTTCCTATTTGAGTGGATCAGCGATCTATTTTTGTCTCGCCCTGTTGCCTTTCATCAATCGATCATTCGGACATTTCGATGGGGCCAGCATAAAAATCCAACAGAACAAGATTATGTAAATTAACTCGATAAAACTTTCATCCAGTTCCCTTGTCTTGGTTTTCTGTTTGTGTTGACATGTTTAATATTAGAGCGACAATTACACTAAGCTTTGTCCAGCCCTTTTTCATGGCTAGATATTCAGGGAATTTCAGTTGATTTTGCACGAAAATCCAGCTGGTTAAAAGTGAAAGCAAAGTGATGCTAACACCATTAACTAATTCACCCAGGATTATGATGCCAGCTCCTTGCTAAGATCATAGCAGGTTGTACTGTGTAAAAGTTGTATTGATGCTCACAATCTAGCAAAGGCCTTGGCAAATATTGGCGACACGTGGCAGCCCGCTGTACAGAAGGCCTGTTGCACTTTCGATCCTTGTTTATATGGTCGGTATGAGTATGAATCTCGTACGATTTATTGCGCCAGGCGAACAGCAGGTGTTGGTCACGATGTCATCAGAGCATGCATCTGACGAGATAGGCGTCAGGACTTATGGCCTACGTCAGCGCACAGCCAGACATACAGCTGCGAGCTCTCGACCCGCGTCTGCCGGCCGGCGGTCGGCCGGAGCCAGCTGGCGGCCGTGGCCTCGGCCAACAGACAGACAGATGGGTATCACCGGTTCCTGACGGGCCGGCAGGCGCGGCGGCCGGCTTCAAACGGATCGTACCTCCATTACTGCCGCCGTCTCGACGACAGATTTTTATGGATGAGACGGCCGGGCCGCCCGGACGGCGGGTGCAGCATTGACAGCATATTTCATTGCAATATGCGGCACTGATTTACGGCGCTGGCGCGTGCATCGCAATTACCCTGAGAGAGGTCGGGCTGGTCGGGTGCCTGTCGCGGCTGCGGTCAACACGCGGACAGGCCCGGCCACGTGCAGCGGCGGGGGATCCGAGACAAGGGATCCGCCCGGCGCGGTGTCCGATGTCCATACCCAGCCGTCTGTATGGCTCGCGAGCCGCCGGGCCCAGGACAGCGCGCCGGGATTAGCGGCCGCTGTGCTCGTCGAATCAGGCCAAGAAGGTCAGAGAATGGAAAGAGACAGGCCGGATTTTCCAGCCGGCCTGGTGCCGGGCCGATTTGCATCGCGACTGAGATGCTCGCTGGCATCTTATCTGCATCACAGTTTGCGTCACGACAGCGCACCTTTGGAGGCGGCATGTTCGACACCGCGGCGCTGCAGGCGGACGGTGACGGCGCGGTCGGCGCTTTTGACCGACTCAGACTCATCTCCATGAAAGCGAGGAGTGTCCCGTCCGGCGGCCGGCTCTCGGCCCACCTGGAAATCTGAATAGAAGGGCTGCCGTCGTCCGTCGTCCTGTCCGCCCGACAGCGGCCCGACGGCGGCCCGACAGCAGCGCGACGGCGACTCGACGGCGGCGCCGCCTCCTGCGCAGCAGTCAGCCGGCGTCGCCCATTCAGCGGTAACCGATCAGCGGGACCAACACTGCGGCTCGAGCGGGCCGATTTATTGTCCATTGTGGGCCGGACCCCCGCCGCGGCCGCCGGAGCGCGGGCAGAGCGCCGGAGCGGACAGAGCGGGAGCGGGGAGCGCGAGAGAGCGCGGCCCCAGCGCCTCCCCGCTCCTGATGTTGACAAATCCCGGCACTCGGGGCGGCTGACAGCCGCGGGAGGGCGCTTTGATTTAGGGTCGCCGATCGGCGGGGACACTTTCGAAGTAGCGTCCCGTGTCCGTGCCGCGCCCGACAAGGCCGCGCGTCGTTAGAGCGGGCCGGACCGGTCGGCATCCCGCCAGCCGCCGCCGCCATTAAATCACTCGGCCACTCATTACAATTATCAATTAGGGTCCGAGGCGGGCGGGCGGCGCGGAGGGCCGGTGTTGTTTCACCTGGGGAGCGGCCGCGGCCGCCGCGAGGGCCGGCCCCCGGCGCGCCGCGATTGTATCGCACCCTAATTGAACAGGGCTGGAATCTGTCTGGTCGTTTGTACCCTTGTTAACCGGGGACCGGGCAGGCGAGAACGGCCTGTGTGGTCCCTGGACCCCCGGCTACCATAATTGATACTGATGGATACGGTATTTAAATGAGTGGGGCGCGGAGAGGGTCCACATGCGCGGTGCACTCGTGCGCAGCCGTGTG